CTGGTCCACGCCGGCATCAGGCATCCAGCACCCGCGCCGTCGCCACCAGGCCGCCGCATCAGACAACCGCATCAGCCCGCCGTACGTCGTCGAGAAGGCGGTGTCGTTGCACATCGTTGACATCGGCCGCACCGTCACCGTGATCGCGCGTGGTCCAGGAACCGCGGGTGCACCACGCCGACTGCCGGCAATTAAAAATAGACGAAAAACGAAACGAAGCTACAGAGAGAAGGAGAGAGAGAGAGAGAAACAGAGAGACGTTGAAGGATCCGAGGATACCACCGGACGCAACGACCGTCTGGGAACCTCGGGGGTTCATCGAACTCGCGCGAAACATCGCGCCGCGACTCTGCGGGACACTCGCGGCGCGACGCTTTTGGACTTGTTTATATTTTTCTTTTTTTTTTTTCCCCCTCTATCCACTCTTCTCGTTATCGTCGGCGAGACTCGTGGAAGGTACAGCAGTGAGCGAGCGGTCAACGAGAGGCTTCTTCCGCGGCAATATCGGATATATCGTGAATTCGCCGTGCGGGAAATCGACTGTGACTGTGAACTCTGTTGATCGCGGCGACGAAAGTGCCCGCGGTCGTGTCGTCGCGCGTCGGAACAACATCATCCTCGCAGGTGCCGGCGGCGAGTCGTCATTGTCATCGTCGTCGTCGTCGTCGTCGTCGTCGTCGCCGCCGTCGCCGCCGCCGCTGCCGCCGCCGTCGCCGCCGCGCAAGGACTGCTGACAATCGCGAAGGTGCTACCGTTCCCCGTTTCCCGCCGCATACGAGTACGTGAAACGTAGTCCCGCACCTGTGCGAACGCGTGCGGTTCGTTCCGGTCAGTTAGTCGCTCGGCCAGCCTGGTATCAACACTGTCGTTCGCAGAGTCGCGGTGTCATACATGTCGCGTGCGTTCCTCGCGGTGGTGAACGCGGGGCAGTCGCGAAGAGATGCGGCAAATGAGGAAGATGAGGACCGACAGTAGTTGACGAAGTGCGTCCAGACGTATGTGCGAGACGTATATCGAGTAATCGCATCCGGGAGAGAGAGCTCGAATCGCGTTAGAAAGGAAAAAAAAAAAAAAAAAAAAACAACTGAACTGTATTCGTAGGAAAGAGAAAGAAAGGACAGTGAGGACAGTGTTTCGATACACCGGGAAAAATCGGATGGACCCCCTCGCGGAGGGCGAAAACACGCGGCGGAGGTGAGAGGGAGGAGGGCGGAAGCGTGACGACGGCCGAGATCGAGCCCTTTGTCCTGTTGTTCTGCCACCGACGTGCGCTTGTCGCTTCCTCCTTTCTCATCTCGTCCCCGCGGATGTGATCCAGGAGACCCAGAGAAGACAACAACTTGGCCCTTGGTCTCGGCAACGGCAATAACAACAACCGCAACCCCTTTCCGTCCTGAACACCCGGAGCGCAGGCTCGTTTTTTTTTTTCAAGAGACAGTGTTACGCGACGAAAGTCGAAGATCGCGAACGCCACCATGAGGATCAAAATGCCCGCGGTCAGGATCGCGCAAGGTGAGTGAGCGACAAACAAAAAAATCACATTCCCGCGAGATCTCGTGCTCGCGGCCGTCGACCGGCGAAAAGCCTCTTTCTTTCGTATTTACGTACGCCGATGTAATTTTTGGCAAAAACACGCGAAGAATGACAAACATCGTTCTAGATCACTTGCGGCCACTTTGCGGATCGCTTCGGATTTAATTGACACGGAAGTGAAATGCTCGTGGCGGCCGACGGTGCGAAAACATGCGATTAGACACATGCTAAATGCGTGATACCTGTCGCGTTTGCGAAAACGATGCGCTCGAAATCATGTATCCTGTTTATGAGCGTGTTTATTGTGCCACGCGGTGTTGGACGAAGCGACGAAATAATCAAGTTATTAAAATCGTAGATCGCTGTGCCTGTGCTTTATAATGTTTCATCTTTTACGCGTCTCTGTCAGGTCATCTAGTAGTCCGATTAGATTAGATTTGATAATATATTCCCGTTACTCGCTCTCAGAATTTCGAAGCCAGATAACTGTAACAAATGTTTTTAATATCGCTCGAATCCAAATTATCGATTGAATCGTACTGCTAAGAACCCGATCAATCCAGCCACTTCTGAGATCCGATAATGTATCTAGGATACTCACACCTGGTCAGCTGGCGTACACATTTGACGTGAGATAATTAGGATTTAATTGTATTGACGACAAAAGTCTATAAGAAGAGTGCACTAGAAATCTATAAGGAGAAGCTATCAATGGTAGTTAATTAGTTTTACGTGTGATATGAGAATAGTATTCTTATAGAATCAAGGTAAAAAGGAGATTATTAGTTAAAAGAAAAAAACTGAGAGAAATAGCTATATCTATCGAAAAAGATAATAATTTCGTGATAAAAAAATAATGAGAATGTGTTTTTAAATCCCAATTAATCAAGGATTCAAAATATAAATATATTTGTAACATGTCTTTTTTCAGAAAAGATTTTTTTCAATAAAAAATATAAACAAATATATATTATAAGATTATGTTAATATTCTTTATTCTACTTTAGAATATTTTTACACTTACTGTTGTAACAATCAAATTTTTGTAATAATATTAGAATGAAAGTTGTTGAGCTTAAATACAAGATATTTTATAATTTTCACGATTTCGGCGGTTTATTAGAAACTTTTAATAATTATTTTTACACATCGATGTATATGCAGAAATAATACCATTAATCAGAGGCATAATTATTCGCGGATTGATCTATCTAAACTTAATTTTACGTTTTCTTTAAGAGCAAATTAAAAGCAATCTCTCTTCTGGTTGTTAACAGTTCCGATTAACAGTCGATAAATCCCTACCATTTGTAACGAGAAATTCTCGATATTCATCAGCAACTTGCAAATCTCTTCATAGTGATTCGTGATCGGAACATCGTAAATCGTTTTCAATCGAGTCATGCAAGTCCGGCATGCTCTACTTCAATCCTAATCATTTTATAATCCGTCTCAATTTCAATGGCTCTGTGAGGCGTTGGTGCGCTCTACGTCATACTAAAAACAAAACAATATAGAACGGTGGATCTGAAAAAAAGCAGATTCTCGATTGCGATTAATTTCTTGGCAAACGATGTTTTCTGAGGAAAAAAAATTGAATGCGATAGTCATAGTACAAGTCTTCCGCATCGAGTCCCCGGTATCCCGGTCGCGATCCGGTAATTAACTCCGTTTTCTCGGAAAAAGCACCCGTCTTGATGAAGAGGGCAACCTGTCGATGAGGTAAGCGCGCGACCGTTCCTCGTGGCGTGGCCTGGCACAACGAAAAAAAAGTGAAAAGGATCGGCGGGCGCGTGGCCGGCGACGGAGGGAAGGTAAAAAAGCTACGAAAGGCGCGAGAAAGTTAAATGCGAGAGAAAAAGAGAGATGGAAAGAGAGAGAGAGAGAAGGATGGAATGAAGTGGGGGGGTACAAGGAGAAAGAGAAAGTAGTGTGTGTGAGTGAATGAA